AAAGCAAAACCATTAAAAACAACAGAAGCAATAATAATTTTTTAAAAGATACAAAGTATGGCATCAAAAACATGAATAGGAGGAGAGGGAAAGTAAAAGTAGAACGTTTGTGTATATGATCAAAATAAAGCTGTTATTAGCTTAAATTAACCTGTTATAAGATGTTTTATGTTAGCCTTAGGGTAACCACAAAACAAAAGCTTATAATAGACAGGCTTATCTTTATAAAACATAAAGTGAAAAGAACCAAAGCATACAACTACAGAAAGCCATCAAAACACATAGAAAGAAAGCAATAGAGAAGGAAACAAAGCATCTACAAAACAACTAGAAAACAATTAACCAAATAGTAGGAGTATGTCTATACCTATTAATAATAACCCTGAATATAAATGGATTAAATTCTCCATTTAAAAGATATGTTGAATAGAAGTGGAGATAGTGGGCAGCCTTGCCTGGTTCCAGTTCTAAGTGGGAGTGATTTCAATTTTTCCCCATTCAGTATGATGTTGGCTATGGGTCTGTCATATATGGCTTGTATCATTTTTAGGTATTGTATTTCTATGGCCTTTTTATTAAGTGTTCGTCATGAAAGGGGTGATGATTTTGTCAAAAGCTTTTTTCTACATCTTGAAAGAATCATGTGGTTCTTTGTCTCTCCTGCTTCTTGGGTATTATGGGTGAATTACATTATATTGGCATGTTGACCATCACTGCATCCCTGCGGATGAAGCCCAGCTTGCGTCAGGATGAGTATTTTTTTGATAGATCTGGTTATGCGTTGCTAAGGTTTGTTGAAGTTTTATTGCGTCTTATTCATAGAAGTTGTCTGTAGTTTTCTTTTTTGTGTTTCTTCTAAGGTTTTGGTGATTGAGTAATATTCGCTTAATGAAGGGTGTCTGGAAGGTTGTTCTGTTCTATGGATGTGGAATATTTCTGCGAGATAGGACCAGTTCTCTTTCTTGTAGGGTGGTAAAATTCGAGTGTAAAACTCGTGTCGGGATTCTTTTTAGGGAGATTTTAATTGCTGTTTGTTTTTGGCTCCTGATCTTGTCTGTTCAGATGTCTATTTTTTCGTGGTGGGCTAGGGGCTGTGTGTTTCTAGAGATGTTCATTCCTCCATTTCGTTGTGCATGCATAAACGTGATTTTGATTTGTAAATTATATCTTGGTATCTCCTTGGGGATCAGTCCGGTGATCTCTCCTTTTTTTCCTGATGCGGCTATTAGAGCCTTTTCGCTTTTCTTAGCTAGTTCAGTGTGTCATATTTTGCAGTTTATTGTTCAAAGAACCAATTTTGTTTTTATCTCCTGTAGCTCCCGTGTCATTTCATGTTAGTTCTGATTTGATCTTGTTAAGTGTTACTTTTGTATGGGTTGGGATGCGTCTGTTCTTCCTTTCGCCTCTTGAGTTGTTTCATTAGATTGTGCTCATTCCGTGATTTTTTGACTTTTCAGGGTTAGATTTATGGAGTGAAACGTCTTCTCTCAGAATTGCTTTAGCTGGTCCAGAGGATTTGTATGTCTCTCATTGTCCTTTGTTCAAAGAATTTATTTCCATCTTGATTTCTTTATTTATGAGTAATTTCATATTAGTAGGAGGTTGTAATTTCCAATTTTGTGTGAATGTGGAGGTTTTTTATGGTTGTTTACTTTTTCCTGTGATCTGAGAGTACATGCGTATGATTCTCTTTTAATTCTTGAGGCGTTTTACATTGTGTCTAAAGATTGGTCAATCTTAGACAGTCCTGTGAGCTGGAAGAGCAAGAGCATAACTCAGTGGATTTGAGGTAGAATGTCCTATAACAATGTCAGTGAGACCCACTTGTTCGAGTTTTGTTACTACCACTGATTAAGATTCAATGCATACCTATTAACATCCATCATAATTCTTCACGTATGAAAAATAATTTTATGCTTAGTATGGAACAATTGAGAAGAGCCATATTCAAGCAATTCGTGGCAAATAAACAAATGAGGGGTAATATGCAGATATCAACTTGATACTACAAAGCTTAGTATTAAATCTCTTGTATTGGTACCAAAATAGGAATTTTGATCAGTGGACAGAATCTGGAGAACCTGATAAACCTCTCTTACAGCCATCTAATCTTTGACAAGCAGACAAAAACAACGCGTGGGAAAGAATCCCTTTTCAATAAATGGTGTGGTAAACTGGGATGAGCCACTTGTAGAAGGCTTAAACAGGCCACACCTTTCACCTTCCAAAATCAACTCACGCTGGATAAACGATAACACCTAGGTATGAACTATAGAATTCTAGAGGATGTGGAAACCTTGCTGACATCGGCTGAGGCAAGATGTATGAAAGACCCAAGCTCACGCGCCAAAAACTAAATAAGTGGGACATGATCCAACTAAAAAGCTTCTGCACAGCCAAAGAAATAGTCATGAAAGTAAACAGACAACCTACAGAATGGGATAAAATTTTCTCATCCTACACATCTGATAAGGGGCTGATAACTAGAATCTACTTAGAACTCATGAAAAACAGCAAGAAAAAAAATCAAACAACCCTATCATGAGGTGGGCAAAGACATGAACAGAAATTTTTCAAAATAAGACAGTAGAATGGCCAACAAACATATGAAAAAATGCTCAACATCTCTAATCATCAGGGAAATGCAAATCAAAACTACAATGAGCTATCACTTGCTCCAGTGAGAATGGCCTTTATCAAAAAGTCCCCAAACGATAAATGCTGGCATGGATGCAGAGAGATAGGAACACTCCTACACTGCTGGTGGGACTGCAAACTAGTCCAACCTCTTTGGAAAGCAATATGGAGATACCTTAAAGCGATACAAGTGGATCTACCATTTGATACAGCAATCCCATTACTGGGCAGCTACCCAAAAGATCCAATGATACTCTACAAAAAAGACACCTACACTCGAATGTTCATAGCAGAACAATTCATAATTGCAAAGCTGTGGAAACAACCCAAGTGCCCATCAATCCATGAGTGGATTAATAAAATGTGGTATATGTATACCATGGAGTACTATTCAGTTCTAAGAAACAACGATGATATAGCACACCTTGTATTTTCCTGGTTAGAGCTGGAACCCATACTACTAAGTGAACTATCCCAAGAATGGAAAAACAAGCACTACACATACTCACCAGCAGACTGGTATTAACTGAGCAGCACCTAAGTGGACACATAGGAACTACAGTAATGGGGTATTGGGCAGGTAGGAGGACACATAGGAACTACAGTAATTGGGTATTGGGCAGGTGGGGCGTGTATATGCATACATAATGAGTGAGATGTGTACTGTCTGGGGGATGGTCACACTGGAAGGTCAGACTTGTTGGGGGAGGGGGGAAGGGCATTATTTGAAACCTTAAAATTTGTAACCCCATAATATGCTGAAATTAAAAAAAAACAAAAAAAAAAAAAAAAGATATGAAGTGGCAGGTAGAGCAAGATGGCCAAATAGAACTTTCCAGCTATCATCCCTGTATAGGAACACCAAATTGAATAACTATCCATGCCACAAAGCACCTTAATAAGAACCAAAAATCAGGTGAGTGATCACAGTACCTGGTTTTAACATTATATCAAGGAAAGAGGCACTAAAGAGAGTCGAAAAGACACTCCTGCATTGCCTACACTACCCCTCCCCTAACCCCTGGCAGGGTCCTACAAAGAGAGTATGTGTGTGCTTGGGGAGGGAGAGTGAAGTGATTGTGGGACTTTGCATTGGAACTCAGGGCTTCCCTATCACAGTGGGACACAACACAGGGTAGAATTTGGCTCATACCCATGGAGAGCATTTAGACCAGTCATGGCTAGAGGGAATCCTCCACCCCAAAGATAGGAAACAGGTCTAGTTAGCTCCACCACCTGCTGACCTGGCCTGGGGCCTGGAATAAACTTGAAAGGCAGTCAGGCCAGAAAAACTGCATTCAAATTGGAAAGGAGGAAGTTAAATTGTAACTATTTGCAGATGACATGATATTATATTTATAAAAACCTAAATACTCCAGCAAAACTGTTAGAACTGATAAACAAATTCAATAAAGTTGCAGGATACAAAATCAACATACAAAATTAGTAGCATTTCTATATACCAATAGCAAACAATCTAAAAAAAAATCAAGAAATCAATCCTATTTACAATGGTTACAAAAAATGTCTAGGAATAATTTTAATTAAAGAGGTGGAAGATCTCTACAATGAAATCTATAAGACACTTGTAAAACAAATTGAAGAGGACACAGAAAATGGAAAGGTATTCCGTGTTCATGGATTGGAAAAATTAATATTGTTAAAATGTCTATACTAGTCAAATTGAGCTACAGATTCAATGAAATCCCTATCAAAATACCAATAATGTTCTTCACAGAATTAGGAAAAACAATACTAAAATTCATATGGAATGACAAAAGACCCACAATAGTAATATAAATAAATAAATAAATAATCCTGAGTAAAAAGAATAAAACTGGAGGCATCACATTATCTGACTTCAAAATATACTACAAAACTATGATAACTAGAACAGCATGATACTGGCATAAAATCAGACACATAGACCAATGGAACAGAATAGAGAACCCAGAAATCACATATTTACAATGAACTGATTTTTGACAAAAGTACCAAGAATATAAAGTGGGGAAAGGCAAGTCTTTTCAATAAATGGTGCTGGAAAATTTGGACATCCATATGCAGAAGAATGAAACTAAACCCCTGTCTCTTCCCACATACAAAAATCAAATGGATTGAAGACTTAAATGTAAGACCCCAAACTATGAAACTACTACAAGCAAACTTAGGGAAAATGCTTCAGGACATCAGTCTAGGCAAAGATTGTTTGGATAAGATCTCAAAAGCACAGGCAACAAAAGCAAAAGCTGTTAAAACTCTCCTCTTACAATCTATAGGCCTTGTAGTTTGGACTTTTTTTTACAATAGATTAGGTAGCAAGTAAAAATAAGCTTTTATAAAACACAGAAAGCACTGCCTACCTTTGTGGCGTTTTGGAAAACTGTAAATGTGATCCAGGAGGCTAATAAAAACAACAGCACCAACAGTGGCTTATAATTTGTCATTCTTGTTTTCATGATTAGGATCCTACAAGAGACAATACAAAACACACACACACAAACACACAACCAAACAAAACAAATGAAAACAAATATGGAAAACATTAATTTTTTTATGGGTTCTGATTATTTTTATCCTCAGATAAATTACTCCCAGAACTAATTCTTGGCCCTCCCAGCAGCTTTTGGTTATCTTTTGGCTATCAGTTGTATTATATATTCTACAGAAGAGATACTCCATGGACTCAACCATGAATTCTAAGAAATTCAACAGCTATAGGCCTGAAGAATGCAGGGTTGTTCATGTCGAGCTGAAGTCTCCAGGCTGTTTGTCACATTGCTAACAGGTTCCTTATTCTCTTAAACATCTTCCCTTAGACACAAAGAACAGACACAAACCACTCCAGCAAATATTGACACTGAGAACCACATGGTTATAGTGCCCTTTGAATGTAAATTAGTTTTCCAGCTTCCTTAATCTCAGATTGTTAGTATGTTCCTCTTTCTTATCTCATCAGTCTATCTAGCACCCTTCAAACTGGAAGAGAATTACTTTAAAACTTATATTATTACTTTCTTTAAAAATTTGTCAGGCTTTATCAATGTTTTTCTATGGTTCATCTTACTGTTTATCTTTATACTGAAATTTCTTTCAAGTTCTCTTTTAAAATCAGATTGCTTGACTCTGTGTACTAAAGTAAAATTTTAAGGCTCACCCCCCTCTCCACCAGCTGACTAAATGGACCCTCTGGTGGCCAAAGGAATATCCTAAAATTAAATTATCTGCCAGGAGGTGAGAGGTCAGACATGCCTTATTACCCCCCCCCTTCTTGAAAACATCCTTTGTAACCCATTAACAGGCCTAAAGATATGCAAGACAAACTTACAGGTCCTCAGTTTACACAACAAATCTATGTCTGCTGGCTTGTCTCTGATAAACAGCTCCTTATGTTAAAACATTCCAAGCCTTTAGACAAAACTTCATGTCTTTAACCAACTATAAGTCAAGAAATCTTTAAACTTACCTATAACCTATAAGCCCCCCCCCCCCTTAGAGATGTCCCACCTTTTTGGACCAAACCAATGTATGCCTCCCACGTATTGATTTATGGCTTTACCTATAACCCCTGTCTCCCTGAAATGTATAAAACCAAACTGTAACCCAGCCACATCCAGTCCACTCCTCAAGGCTTCTTGAGGGTGGGTCTGGGCCATGGTCCTCAAATTTGGCTCAAAATAAATATCTTTAAAATTATTTTACAGAGTTTGGCTTTTTTCCATTGACAACTCTTGCCCTTCTAAAATTTTCCATCTGTCAAAATTTACTCTCCCTACTCCAAGTGCATATTATCTTGTACATAGTAGACACTCAGTAAAATTTTCTGAATCGAACCAAAAGAACCTTAAATATTAATGCAATGTAAGCTCGAACCAAAAGAACCTTAAATATTAATGCAATGTAAGCAAGACAACAATATTTATCATATCTCAGACCACCAGTGACAGCTTACGATCACACATTTGAATCCACCTGGGATTTGTATTCTTGATCCGATAGAAACAGTGCCAGAAAGAGCAGCTGCCCAGGACAGCTGCACCAGTGCCCAGCATAACTGCTTGGTTTGTGGTTCCCTCTATGGGTTTCATTTGTGCTGCCCCACACAAGAGAGTAAACATATGTAAACAAGTCCATCAATCATTCCACTCTTATTAAGAAGAAAACAATAATGCAAGAATCAAGACATGTTTCACAAGGATATTCCAGATACTTCTTCTAACATCCTGATCATGCTCTACCAAACTAGCCTTAACAATACATCTTTATGTCTTTATATCATGACCTTTGGAAAAGGTGTATGACTGATTCGAGGATTGCTCAATTCTTCCCTAAAGAGGCTATAATAAGAAAAAGAAAAAAATAGGGGAGCCGGGCTGCCCCTCACACAGCACGACCACAGGTTTCCTCACCTGTGGGGAAACATGCGGGTCGTGCTGTTAGAAAAGAAAACAAAACAAAAACAAACAAAAAGAAAGAAAAAACATTTGCAATGGGTTTGCTTTGGCTGCTCCTTAGGATACTGATGCCAGCAACCACTCAAGTTCACAGTCTACTGTGACACACATAGATTTATGTATTTTAGTTTGCTTTGGTCGTTATTAATGTTAAACTGGCATGTTTTTATGAGGTAGCCATAAGAGATATTCTTGACGTAAAGAACTGGGAGCACAAAAGAGAGTTTAAATGATTTGCTTAGGTCATCTAATGAGCTTTGAGGCAGGGCTGAGTGCAGAATTCCTGTCATTTTGATCTCTGATTCAGAGTATTTTCTACTATCAGCGTAACTCCCCACGTATGCAGTAACCAAGTTCAGGTAGATTCGACGATTCATGTATTTGTATTTGTTGTCCATTATTTACATAGTAAAATATAATCCAGGAAACAATTCTTTGGGGGTATGAGTAAGGCAAGAGTAGTGCTGGCCAGGTTTTAAAGAGCCCAAAGCAAAATGGGCAGAGTGTTAGCATCAGGTTGAACCACAAGTTAAGGAAACAACTACTGTGGTCTCATGGATCAAACAAGTTGTCCCCCATAACTATGGAGGCTACATTGCTTGGTAGGACATCTCATTTCCATGGTTTCTGAGTACAAAAAGAGGGTCTCTAATCATTGAAGGATAAACATAAAGATTAGAGATGATGCAACAGCAAGAATGACTCAAGATTCCAGCCATGAGAATTTGGCATAGGACTCTTTATATGTCATTAAGCAATGATGAAGGGCACAGGCCATTATAGTTTAATGTTAATTAATAGAGAGTAAAAAGACCAATGCTGTGGCAGGTTCATGGATAGATAGCTCATAATGGTCCTAGATTTACTAGTCACAGAGCATCATGGACTCTGCCATTTTCAGAGTGGCAATGGAAAAATGTATGAGCTTTAGGGTGACTGCCATGCCCATAGCCCTCTTTGAAAAAGGTAATGAAAAGTTCTTATACATAAGTTACTTATTACCCCACCACCCTGTAACAAGAGATGGGCACCTGTTTCAAAGGCAACAAACTATATGGTGGCAGGAACCTATGGAGAGGCTGGCATGAGAACCTTGCTAAATAGGAGTGCTCCTTTTAGGTGGTGACTGCCTACCACTCAGATCTCCTTTTTGCTGGAATTTGAAAGAGATGCATATAAGTAAAGAAGAAAGCAGTTGGTGGGGTAGATGTGGAGAAGCACATACATAGATAGATTAGCAACAGCTAACATTTATTGAGGACTTACTATATAGCCCCACCCCTACCATAAGTCTAAAAGACATTAATTAACAAGTAACAGTGGAATACTATAATGAACATTAAGTGTCAGACCCTCTTCAAGATACAGCACAAAGGGAAGATCCAAAACTGTAGGTGGAGCAGACATTGAGAAAAACACTATGACAAGCTAGCTCCCATTCCCAACATTATATATTGCTAAAGGAATTTGAAGTCTTTGGTACATTGAGGGCAACCATAGTAACAATAAACTTCAAGCCCAGCCTGATTCCTGCCTAAATTAACACAACCCACCCACACTCAAGGCCTAGCAGGACAAAACACACACATATTTTAAAGCATAAAAATTATTTACCCAAGTCTCTTATTATTTGATACAAATGTCCAATTTCAGTAAAACATTCTGAGGCATATAGAAAGGCAGGGGAATAAAATGACACACTCCTATGAGGTAGAGAAAGCAACAGAATCAGATTCAGGTATGACACGTATGTTGTAATTATCTAACAGAGAATTTAAAATCTCTCTGATTGATATGATAAAGCAATAGAAAAGGTGGACAACTTGAAAGATCAGATGAGGAGTTTCAGCAAAGTGGTGGATAAGTAAAACTCAAAATAAAATGATAGAAATAAAAACCACAGTCACAGAGTTGAAGAATGCCTGGATAGGCTCATCAGTAGACTTGAGGCAATAAAGTGAAGAATCAGTGAACTTGAAGATAGATTGGTAGAAATAACACAATCTGAAACCCGAAGAGAGAGAGAGAGAGAAAAAAAAAGACAGAGAATCCAAGGTCTATGGGGGTAATAATAAATGGTTTAATATATGTATAACAGGACTCTTGGAAGGAGACCAGTGATAGAGAATGACTTTTTAAGAGTTATTTAAAAAAATAATGGTTGATCATTTTCCAAAATTAATAACATATCAAACTATAGATCCAAGAAGCTCAGTAAACACCAAGAAGGATAAATACCAAACACTCACATACATGCACACACACACATTACATTTAAACTGCTGAAAATGAAAGACAGAGAAAAATCCCAAAGGTGGCCAGAGAAAAAGGACACATGACCTATAATAAGAATTACAGCAGACTACTTATCAGAAACCATGTAACCAGAAGAATATGGAGTTAAAAAATTTTTTAAGTGTTGAAAGAAAAAAAAAAAATCTAAGAATTAGAATTCTATGCCTAGCAAAAATACCTTTCAAAAATGGAGTAGAAATGCTTTCTTAGCAAACAAAAACAGAACTTATTACCAGTAGAGTTACACTTAAATAAATACTAAATCAAGTTCATTCTTGAATATGAAGAAATATGATATCAGAGAGAAACTTGGGTCTGCACAAAGAAATATAGAGTGCTGAAAATGAATAAATGAGGATATAATATATAAAAATATTTTTTCCTTCTATTTTTTTTTTGAAACAAGAGTCTCACTCTGTCACCCTGGCTAGCGTGGAGTGGCATCAGCCTAGCTCACAGCAACCTCAAACTCCTGGGCTCAAGCGATCCTGCTGCCTCAGCCTTCCGAGTAGCTGGAACTACAAGCATGTGCCACCATGCCCGGCTAATTTTTCTATTTTTTGTAGAGACCGGGGTCTCCCTCTTGCCCAGGCTGGTCTTGAACTGCTGAGCTTAAACAATCCTCCTGCCTCATCCCCCAGTTTCCCCCTCCCCACATAGTTTTAATTGCTTTAAAAGACAAATGGCTCTATAAAGTAAAAATAGTAGGCAGTGCACTATGTGTTTATTGGATATATTAAAGTAAAATGTATAACAACAAAAGCACAAGAAGTGAAAGGTAGGAAGTTGGAAAAACTATCTTAAAGTCCTTATACCATATGTGCAGTGGGCTAATACTGTTTGAATGTAGACTCTAATTAGTTAAGAAAAATACTGTAATCCTAGTGTAACTGCTAAACATTTCTTTTAAAAAGAGATATAAATAATAAATCAACAATGGCGATTAAATGGAATAATAAAAAAATGCTCAGTTAACCCAACAGAAGACAAAGGAAGAGGGAAAAAAGGAGAAGTGGAACATAGAAAACTGCTATCAAGACAGATTTAAATCTAAAGATATGAATAGTGACCTGAAATCTGAATGATATAAACCAGGGGTGGAAAATTTTTTCTATAAAAGCCAGATATTAAATATTTTAGGAAAAATAAATTATAAATAAGAAAACATAATAGATATATTAAAATTAACCTTGTGGTATTTAATTAGAATTAGAGTTATCAGTATGTACTCAGAGATTTTTGATAGATAGATAGATATGCATTTGCATGTATATGTGAGTTCATACACACAGACGTATATACCAAGCTCTGTCCACTGAGAGGCCCCAGAAGCAATCACACTTAATGACTTTGGTTTCTTAATTCTTCAAGAAAAGGAGCCAGAGCTCCTTGGTGAAGTAGTTGGTTGATTCCACTACTTTTTCAGGGGATATGAGATGAACCTGAAGCATTTTGTAGTGCTAGGAAATGCTTTTTAAAAAGGCAAAGGAGGGGCGTCTCCCCGCAACCTCCTTAACTTCCCTAGTCAGTGACGCAGCGCCCGCAGAAATCCGAAGGAACTGGGGTCGAGGGAGGGTGAGTTGCAGTTAAAAGAAGATGGATGCACACAGTTCAACCAAAATCAATGCAAGGAAGAGGAGGAAAGAGGCACCTGGACCCAATGGGGCAACAGAGGAAGATGGAATTCCTTCAAAAGTGCAACGCTGTGCAGTTGGCTTACGGCAGCCAGCTCCATTTTCTGATGAAATTGAAGTTGACCTTAGTAAGCCCTGTGTCAGGGTAACTATGGAAGAAGCCAGGAAAAGAACTCCTTGTGAGCGGCCTGTGAGAGTCCATGCAGATGGAATATTTGACTTATTTCACTCTGGTCATGCCCGGCCTCTGATGCAAGCAAAGAACCTTTTCCCCAATACATACCTCATTGTGGGAGTCTGCAGTGATGAGCTAACACAACTTCAAAGGCTTCACGGTGATGAATGAAAATGAGCGCTATGATGCAGTGCAGCACTGCCACTACGTGGATGAGGTGGTGAGGAATGCCCCCTGGACCCTGACACCCGAGTTCCTGGCAGAACACCGGATTGATTTTGTAGCCCATGATGATATCCCTTATTCTTCTGCTGGGAGTGATGATGTTTATAAGCACATCAAGGAAGCAGGCATGTTTGCTCCAACACAGAGGACAGAAGGTATCTCCACATCAGACATTATCACCCGGATTGTCCGGGACTATGATGTGTATGCGAGACGGAACCTACAGAGAGGATACACAGCAAAGGAGCTCAATGTCAGCTTTATCAATGAGAAGAAATACCACTTGCAGGAGAGGGTTGACAAGGTAAAGAAGAAAGTGAAAGATGTGGAGGAAAAGTCAAAAGAATTTGTTCAGAAGGTGGAGGAAAAAAGCATTGACCTCATTCAGAAATGGGAGGAGAAGTCTCGAGAATTCATTGGAAGTTTCCTGGAAATGTTTGGTCCAGAAGGAGCGCTGAAACATATGCTGAAAGAGGGAAAAGGTCGGATGCTGCAGGCCATCAGTCCAAAGCAGAGTCCCAGCAGCAGCCCTACTAGGGAACGCTCTCCCTCCCTCTCTTTCTGATGGCCCTTCTCTGGCAAGACTTCCCCATCCTCCTCCCCAGCAAATCTCTCCAGGCACAAGGCTGCAGCTTATGATCTCCGTGAGGATGAAGAAGACTAACTTTTCATCCCTCCTTTCCTGTCCCCTCCCTCTGTCTCATCACCTTCAGAAGCTCTCTGTTGAATTCCAAATTGTGATCCCAACACTAAACCTAAGAACAACTACAAAGGAAAGAATTGGAGCAAGAGGACCTAGAAATGGGGGAACCAAAACAGCCTATCCTCCAAGAGATACCAATCACCCACACCAAGAAGGAGACTGACTATAGCTTAGAAGCCTGTTCTGCATCCATCTGCCCTCCCCAAGGACTTTGTTTTACTATTATGTTCATGTGATCTTGACAGGGAAATTGTCATTTTTATTACTTTTTTAAAAATTAGTCTTTCAAATATAGTATGTAGAATTAATTTTTTGCCCCTGAGGAGTGGGCAGAAGAAGGAAGTGGCGTAACACGCAGAGGCCTTTTCTTCCTGATACACTGTAGTGTTTGCCTTCTGTTCTAAAGCAAAGTGGATTACCAAGTTGTTAGCTTTTTTAAAGCAAATCAAATTTATGATATGGGTAATTTGGGGGGAAATATCATAAATTTGATTTGCTTTAAAAAAGCTAAAAAAAAAAAAAAGGCAAAGGACATATCAAAATAGCACAGAAGCCAACCTAAAAGAGTTCCCCATGCCCAAAGTTGAAACAGTTTGAGCCACAAAATAAATAACAAGAGTTTTGGAATATAACCCATAGAATAAAAATAAATCCATGAGTCCATGTTGATAAAAATAAATCATAGCACAAATAAATGGAGTAGGAGAAACAACTGTCCCCTACAGAAGAATTACATTTAAAATATGTAGCAAAAGTGAAGGAAATACAAAATCACCATGAGAACTCCTCAGTAATAATTGCTATATTCCAGATATGCTGATGAATCCTAAAAGTAGTGAGCAGAAGTTTGAGGAGAAACAAGGATATCTTTCCACCAACATATTTTATTAATTTCAAAGTGAAAAATGGTAAGGGCACAGTGGAGAAATTCAACAGAAAACTGCTTACACAAGTGGTCGAAGTAACATCATCAGTAATGAGACATAACTTGCTTCATGAATGCTGTGCCGAGAAAGGTACACCCCTTCTGTGACATTCTTGACAATAATGCATGACTTCAATCTAATGATGAGAAAATTTGGGGTAAAACAAAATTGAGGAACATTCTACAAATAACTAGTACCCTTCACAAGTGTCACAATCATGGAAAACAACGCAAGACTAAGCAGCCAAGCAACTGTCATGGATTGGAGGCACCTTAGGAGACCTGATGCCTAAAGGCAATGTGGGGTCCTAGATTAGGTCCTGAAACAGAAGAAGGACATTACTGGAAGAACTAGCAAACTCCAAATGAAGTCTGTAGTTTAGTTGATGGTCACTAATGTACCAGTGTTAATTTCTTGATTTTGAACATTGTATGATAGTTACACAAGATGTCGTCACTCACTTAAGCTGGCTGCAGGGTATATGAAAATCCTCTGTACTACTTTTGAAATTTTTGTGACTCTAAAATTATTTAAAAGTAAAACGTTCTGAAAACCTTCTCAAAAGGAGAAAATATAGTTCTCCATGGATTGATTCATTATAGTTCTCCATGCAATGATCCAGTTTCCCATATCATTTACGAAAATCCACCAAATAGCCTATCATTTCCACACAGATTGGTGCTGCCACTTCTGTCATTTCAAGTTGCCATCTATTTTTCTGGGATCTTCATTGTGTTTGGTGTATTTTTCATCTGTCAATGTTCCATTGTTGCTTTTTGTTTTGATCTTTAAACATGACTTTGTATATCTTATCTCTAGGGTATATCCCCTTTTGTGGCTCTAATTTTTCAAAATTAGCTATTCATTTATTATTACCTTTTTGATATACCATTAAGAATCAGTGTTCACTGTAAGGCAGCAAGATGAAATACTAACAGAGGATGCTGGTGCCCTAATTTGATCCAATCTTGGGGATGCCACAGAGTGAAAGGGAGATGATAGGCTTTGGATATTAGCAAAAACTGTGAGAAATCTCTGGAAAGTGCCAGATGATTAGGTTCTAACGTATATGATGGAGATAAAAGGTTTAAGAAGAGGTAGCCAGCCTAGGGAAGAAAAAACCTGGGGGCTAAGACACGGAAAGGACTCAGTGAGCATTCCAAGTTCTTTTAATTGCCCTGCAATGCCCTGGCTAGAGCACTGACTGCCTTCTTGCTACTGCTGGGCAGACAGAGAGACAGCATCATCATTCAGCACCAACTGGAGACAGTGTAGTGGCATCAGGTACCACCAGAGAACCCTGTGTGTAGACAGGAGAAACCTATGTGTACAAATGACTGAGACAGTCCTAAACTTTTACATCTTCTCCATGGCCACCTACAAGGGCACTGTCGTAATTTTGTCTGGGACAATATTTCATCATGTGGGATTTTTCCATGCATTAAAAAAGATGGTTAGTATGCCCTAGCCTCTTGACCTAAAAGCCCTTAGTAACCCAGAATCATTACAGCAATCCCCAAATTTCCCTTACACATTTCTAAATACCACCTTTGGTTGAGAACCTCTGGTCTAGATGATTAGATGATGATCCCAAGATGATGATAGTTGTTGGGAAAAGCTGTGCTTAGATGGAGGTGCAGAAGAATCACTTGAGGTCAGTGCCACATTATGTGTGTGAGAGAATGAAAAATGGTTGAGGAAAGATGAAAACGGAGGCTCTTACTACCAATCAGTCTGGAGTAGTTAAAAAAAAAAAAAGAGGCTCTTAGCACTAAAAAAGGGGGCACAAGGTTTAAGGCTTGGAATTTGGCTTATTCTCCTAGGGAGACATTGCCATCCAAAGTAGCAGACAATCCTAGGGCAGTGTGACCTCACAGGAATAAATAATGAGGCACTGGAAGAGCACAACTACTATATAAGAATGGAAAAAAGAAATGAAATACATAGAGCAAGAATTACAATTAAGCATAATAAACAATCATTAAAGAGTGATGAGGTATAAATCCGCAAAATGTAATGTAAAGCAGAAGCAAGCAGTCAGAAAGAAGAACTAGTTGACATGGTCTGAAATATATAATAACTGAAATAAAAGTAGCCTGATGCAAGAGTAGAAGGTATACAGAAATCAAATTAGTGAGCTGGAAGATCAGGTTCAGGAACTTTCCCAGAAATCATCAAGAAAGCAAACAGAATCGAAAGAATATGAAAGACAATATAAAAAATATGGATCAAAGGAATAAAAAATCAGTACCAATATTTAATAAAAATCCCCAGAAAGGTAGGGGCAAAATTAAGAAAAAAGAGAGAGGCTATACGTTATTTTTGGGTACATGTGAAAACCAAAAATAGACCATGTACTGGGTCCCAAAGGAAGTCTCAAAAATTTTCAAATTCATCATTTACATGTAAATTGCAATGCAATTGCAAACTATTTGACAATGACTAACAATGAGAGTATCAAACATTGTGGAATGCTGCCAAATTACACGGAAAGGAAAACATGTAAGTGTAAATGCAGCTATTACATAGCAATGAAAATTAAGACTAAATGAGTTAGGTGTCCAAGTTAAGAATAGAAAAAGGACAGCACAGTAAATCTGAAGAAAGTAGAAGTAAGGAACTTATAAATATAAGAGAAGATACTAATAGGAAATAAAACAAGCAACAGAAATGATCAGCAGGATATGCAACTAATTCTTAGAGTGAATCTAAAAAGTGGGCAACTTTCCAGTAAAGTTGATCAAAGGAAAAAGAAAATATACAAATAATTAATTTTAGGATTATAAAAGGATATATCACATCTGACACCAGGAATATTTTTAAAATCACGAGAGAATACTAAAATAACTTTATGCCAACATATTCGCAAAGTTTAACACAGAGGGAAGATTTTTGAGGTAGATAACACAAAAAATTGATGGGATGAAGAATAAAAAAACCCAGGTGAAAAAAGGAATTGTTCTGTACACAGTGACTTCCTTCCAAGGACTACAGCATGGAAAGGGGAAAGAGTAACTTCCAAAGTGGAGAAACCTGGCAAACACTACCTCAGCCCAATGATCAAGGTGAAAAATGCAACGAAAATCATAATAATATGTGCCCTTGATAGGATGTGATAAAAATGGCACTTTACATCTGTGGTCCTCCTCCCCCAAGCCCATAAACCCAGTCTAACCATGAGACAAACACCCGAAAAATTCTGATTGAGGGGCATTCTATTAATATATGAAATACATGACTAATATTCAAAACTAAGTCATCAAAAACAAGGAAAGTCCAAGAAACGGTTATAACCAAAAGGGGCCTAAGAATGCATGACTACTGAATGTAATATGGGATCTTGGAACAGAAAAAGAACACTGGGTAAAAACTAAGGAAACCTGAATAAAGTATAGACTTTAGTTAATGATAATATTGACTCATTAATTGTAACAATGTACCATAATATGTAATTTACCAAAGTAATACATACTCTCTATATACATTTATATCATAGCATAAATGTGCCATAGTAATGTAAGATGTGACTAATAGACGAGGGCATGGTATATGGGGAAACCTTTGCTGTCCTCTTAATTTCTCTGTAAATCTAATATTTTTTCTTTTTCTTCTCCTCTCTCCCTAAATCTAATTTTTTTAAAAAAATAAAGTCTATTAAAAATTTTAATTTTTTTTTAAATTTTTAACTTTTAGTGATAGAGTCTTGCTATGTTGTGCAGACTGGGTTCAGACAATCCTCCTGCCTCAGTCTTCTGAGCAGCTGGGACTACAGGCGTGTGCCACTGCGTCCAGCTAACATTTAATTATTATAGAATATGAATTCATAATAAAAAATTCTCTAATCTCTAGCCACAGGGCACAGATTTCACCCTATTAATTGTTGCCACCCAACCAGGATGCCCGCTGCACAGAGAAGAGCCAATGTACCAAGACAGTCAGGATTGCAATGGAGAAAGAGTTTTATTTCACAGAGCCCCAAGCGGGGAGACTGGAGAAATTTCTCAAATCTGTCTCTCCGAGAACATGGGAGACAGGGTTTTTAAGGATAGTTTGGTAGGCAAGGGATTAGGCAAATAGATTTGTTCATTAGGGCAAAACTATAGAGATGTAGAAATCATCTTCTTGTGTTGCTCTAGTCCCTGGGGTCACAATTCCAGTTGAGTCAGTTTCTTGGTATGGGTCACTGGTCTGGGTGAACCAATGGATCCACTGGAATGTGGGGCTTGGAAGATACCTGAAAAACGACCTTTAGTTTTCGAAAAGGTGATGTTACCTATGGAGAAAGTTAAGAATCTTTATGGACACCAGCTATGGGAAG